AGTGTCATCTGCAGGTATTATTGTACATGGGGCCCGCGGCAAAATTAGGATTTTACTAAAGAAATTATTTATTTAAAAAAAATTACAAAAAGCTCTTACATTGTGTCAAGGAAATGCACTACTACATATAGATTAAAAAAAATAATAGTATAATCTACGCGACCCATTGAAAATACCAGTTAATACCATATTTAGTTAAAATATTATATTCTAAGTGGGCGTTTGGACATAAGAATTGTAAAATTCCAAAAAATATTAAAAAAAATCAAGTGAAAATACATATTTAAAGTGAAAATTGGAAATTTTATGAACAAACGCTGATTTCGAAAAAAAAAGTGATTTTTTTTTGGAAAAAAAGGATTTTTTTTTTATGTCCAAACGAGCTCTAAATTAGAATTTTGTTGTATGTTTGATTTAAATACTATATTACAAATTAGAATATTATGGTATGTTTCATTTCGATACTGTATTTTAAATTAGAATATTATGGATGTTTAATTTGAATAATGTATTCCAAATTAGAATATTATAGTATATTTTGTTTGAATATTGCATTCTTTATTAGAATAGTGCGGTGTATTTGAATTGAATATTGTACTATTCATTAGAACATTATGGTAATCTAGGTTTGGATTGTATTCCAAATAGAATATTATAATTTGTTTCAGAATATATATAGGAAGATTTAGAGGCATAGCGTATAATATTTTGGGATACTTGATGTAATTTCAAAATTTAAGTATATCAAGAAAGTAAATTTTACAAATGGATATATATTATGTAACTTCCCCTAAAAAATAATATTAATCTTCTATAAATAGTGTACTTTTCGAGAGAAAAAATTCGAATGAAGTCCTTGTGCCTCTTAGCTTTGGCCCATGGGGGTGGGGGTGGAGGGTGGGAGGGAAGGGAGAGAATCAAAGAAACGAAAGAGTTAATGAATGAACAAGCTTGTCTATTAAAATTCTTCTTATCATGCAACAATGTCTATTCTTAAAAAAGAAAAAAATGTTCCCTTCATTTTAATTCAAATTTATTTAATTTTTCAAGTTTTAAACTTTAATATGCCTACATTTTCTAGCAAGCACACTTCTCAACAATGACTTGAATATTTTCCTCCAATTACCACTACTATAATACATACACCAAATTAATATCTTAAACTTCATAACTAGCCATACACATATAAAATGAAATGATTGACATAATTTTTTATACAATTTTTGAAATAATAGAAATTTTAAATAAACTTCTTTTAATTAATTATAACTAAATGCTTTAATACAACATATATCACCTCTAATTCATTTATCTCATAGAATTTGACTTTTAATTTTTTAGGTTTTCACTAAAACAAAAGGTTTAAATATAAAGTTGGGCCATGATATATAAATAGCACGTAAACAATTATAGAGGATACCTTTAGACGAGTATTAAGGGCGAGTTCATATACCAGCATGTCATAATGTTGTAGTAAATGCAGTTGTTTATTCGGAAAAATATTTCATTAATTTACACAAAAATTATGAGAAAAGATTTTCATGTGATATTAATCAGAGTCAACGTTTCATTTTCTTAACTACTTAAAAAATAAATGCAAACCGCCATAAAGAATATGAGAAAATGTACTGAGTGAATCTACATGATCATGTCAAATAGTAGCCTTTTTCGTTGTTTCATCATCCTCTATTAAAAAGAACAGTGTAAAGTTAAGATTTGGGGGGATTGCATCAATCAATCTATCAAAAGGTGTAACGTCGGATTCAGAATTTAAATTTAATAGTTTCAATTTGTATAATTTTTAGTATTGAACTTATTGTTAAAATTATGGGTTCAAATATAATATTTATTGAGATTTTTACAAAATTTTACATATAAATTCGCATTTTATATGAAATTCGTAAAAATTATGGGTTCAATTAAATTCGTATATGAAAGGCTACGTCCATCCTTGTATGGCTACGTCCATCCTTGTATGTCTATTTCCCAATTGCCAGCCTAATCTTTTACGTACAAGATATGGTTTATACTTGATTTTCTCGTGGATGGTGTCAATATTCTCGAATTGAATATTGTGCTCAATCCGTTCACCAATAACCCACCAACAAAAATATATAGTATTAGCAAACTTGATCTTTTAAAATTTAAAACCAATACATTTTCAGCTTCCAAGTAGGGCCGACAGACTCAACCTGCTGGAGTTTTTATTTAATTTATTTTTTAAGCTGTTAAAAAAATTTAATCTTGTTGTTTTAACAATAATTTGATTTATTACCATGGTAAATCCAGCAAAACGAATTTGTCGGTTTGGCAAAAAATCAGTGCTTCAAAGTCTAATCCGACGTATGTAAAAAGGTAAGTATAGATAATGTTAAAGTGGATTTTTGGAAACCACTATTATTTAGTGGTTGTCCTATAGCTACTATTCAATTGTTACGGTAGTGTTGTATTCAGCAATATAATAGCAAAAAGTGCCTAAAAATCAGGGTAGTCCATCTGTACGTGCATGTATTCACATGTATTTGCGCCATGTATTCATGAATACAATAACAAAAAGCGCCTAAAATCAGGGCAGTCCAACTATACGCGCATGTATTCACATGTATTCTCGCTGCGTCTAAAATCAAGGCAGTTCAGCTGTACGCGCATGTTTCACATGTATTTGCACCATGTATTCATGAATACAACAACAAAAAACGCCTAAAATCAGGGCAGTCCAGCTGTATGCGCATATATTCGTGCCATGTATTCATGAATATCGTAACGTCAATCACTTAAAAATAGATATTTTCATCTGTCCAAGAGAGAGGAAAAACATAAATTGCGTATTTCATGCCTCAATGATGGTATATATCATAAATACTTATTTTGCTATAAAATATAAAAGGTAGTTATAGAAAATAATATTTTAAAAAGATTTTGATTTATAATGAATAGGATGTATACCTTTACTATAGGAGGTAAAAGTTAATTCAAGATCCATAACATTAAAATTTTGGATCCACTACTAATATATTCCTAAGAAAATTAAATTAGCCCAAAATTTTCATTAGTGTGAACTTGTGAAATATGGAGCTTAGAGGAGTGGAGTGGGGATGCAACTTAGAATGAGAGAGGCATGGGCAAAAAGAACCATTTTGATTTTGATTTTGTCTCCTTTAGTAAGAAATTTAAAAATAATGATTCATTAGGGAATATGTTTTAGGAGGCGTTTGGACATAAGAATGGTAAAATTTCGAGCCTGTATGGACATACAAATTTTTTTCTTTTTTTCAAATATTTTTTTGAAAACAATGTTTGGTTATCTCATTCTTACTATTTTTTTCTTTTTCAATTGAAAATTTATTTTCAAAATTTAAAAACTGGTTCTCACCACTTTTCTAATTGAAAATGGGAATTTGCTAGTTTTTAGTTTTACCAATTTACCCTGTATAAAATGACCCTATCAGTTTTCATCTTTGGCGACTGATGGTGGAACATCAGTCCTAGTTGATTTTGCATCTTCTGTGTGTGAGCACGTGATTTTTGCCCTATATGAACTGCTCCTATAATTTCAAAACAAAATAATTTCTTTTCATTATTTGCAATTTTATGGATTTTCGTAGAATTGCTGTTAATTGTTTGCATTTTGTCCGTGTAGTTTAACTATTGAAAAATACAAAAAAATATATATACATTGCATATGCATTTAAGATTTAATTTTACACATTTTGTAGATTAATTAGTAAATTAGCGTTTTACAAAAATAGAAAATTANCCCTCGAATTACACCTGAATCTCTCTAATCTTGCTCAGAAGCTGCAAACCCTAACCCGCCGCCCCCTTTTCCACCACACTCGCCGGCGGCGGCGCCTCCGTTCACAACCAAAATAACACCCTATGACCACTAAATCCCCCTCATTCCAAATCCCTGATTGGCTCCCCTCGAATATTGCCCTAGCTCCTCGAATCTTAGATCAGAAATGAACCCCAGAAATCCCAAGTCACGTTTTGGCGAAATTTCATGTTGAATTCGATTTTATTCGTGTGTTCTTCGTAAGAATGCACGATTAACATCAGATTTGTCCGGAAAATCCGAGGATCTGAAGACACAGGCCCCCTCTTTCATTTTCTGAACCGTTCTTAGGTATTCTTCTTTTCTTCTCCTGGTTTAATTTGTTATCCGTTTGTTTTTCGATTTACTGTTTCTTCTCCTCTTCTTGAATCATTCTTTATTTGTTCCGGAGTTTATTTATTCATGCATAAGTAATTGGAGTCTTGTTTTTAGTTA